TGCTCTTATGATGATTAAAAACCCAAGTTTCTGGGTGCCTGGGTGGCTCCGTGGGTTAAAGCCTCTGCCTTCGACTCAGGTCATGATCTCAGGGTCCTGGGATCAAGCCCCACATCGGGCTCTCTGCTCAGCGAGGAGCCTCCTTCCTCACCTCTCTCTCTGCCTGCCTCTCTGCCTACTTGTGATCTCTGTCTGTTAAATAAATAAATCTTTAAAAAAAAAAAAAAAAACAAGTTTCTGCCCTTTCTACCCTGGCAGCCTCTGTGCCTATAACCCAGCCGGACTGAGATGCGTGTGTGCACACACACACACACACACCCACAGCACACACACACCCCAGCACACATAAACACAACACGTAAGACACACACGGACACATGACACGCTAGGTGCACAACCTGCAGATATGCAGCATTCACAGATACAACACACACATAAGAAAACACATAAAACACATAAGACATACAACACACGAGACCTACACACAGCGTGCGTGCACAAGACACACAGACACACAACAGACTGGATACACGACACAGCACATGAGGCCTACGGGAGACACACAGCACACACACAGACACACAACCCACCCTTAGACACAGGACATACACATGACACACAGGACCTCCGCACACAACACAGGACACGCGCACAGACCCGCAGCACGCACACAGCCGAGAAGAGGCGTCCTCGGGCTGGCCCCCGCTCGCCCGGCCCAGAGGCCTCCGGGATCCCCTGGCGAGACCGGCCCAGGCAGCTCCCCCGGTATCTGGAATTACCTCGTCTTTAAAGAAAAACATCGAATAAGCTTTCGATCCGGCACGGAGGACCTGGAATTCGGAACCGTCTCTCACGTCCTCATCGAGATTCCTGTTCTTCACCGTGAGGCTGCTGACGGGATTGAGCCGCTGTCGTTGGATCTCGGGCTATAGATGTTTCTGACAAAATGCCCCACACGTGCGTCGGAGAAGCCGCTCGTGAAACAGCGTGGGGGGCTCGGGCCCGAAACACCGGGTCGCCGGAGCTTTTCATCCGCGCTGGGACCTGAGCTGCGGATCTGGTTTAAATAGATGTTCTCGCCTTTTCCCCTTCATTTGGGTTCTCGGATCCTTCAGGAAGCAGCTCCGGAACCTTGTGGAGGCGCAGACAGTGTGGCCGGCCACACAGCACTCTGCGGCTGCTCTAGCTCAGCGTGGCCAAGTGACCCACCCGGTGCCCGACGGCTTCCAGTCACCGCCCACAGTTTTTTCGTGGGTAACACGTCCTTGCAGAATATCACTGAGCGCGTTTGAGATCGGAGCTACTAAAGTGTCCCCTGGTGGGGCCCGTGGGAGGCACATGTGTCTGTGGGCCCTGGCGGTGTCTGTGGGGACTGACGACACATGAGGGAATGTTGCCAGAGCTGTCGCCTGCCCCCAAACACTGGCCCCTGACGGCGTCCCAGGCAGCGTGAGACTCCCCTGCTGGCCTGAGGGCCTCCCATCAGTGCCGGGCACACGGCTGCCAGCTGACTCCCCTCCCGCGAGGGACAGGAGGAGGCAGCCACCCCCCCGCCCCCATTCTCTGGCCCTGCTCATGCCGCCGTCCACGGTGCCCCTCCCACACGGACGCCCCAAGGACGGGATGCCCTGCCCCGTGCCAGGGCACCCATCACACTGAAGCCAGAGAAACAAGGGGCCAAATCCTGGTGTTGGAGCGTCGTACCGAAGCCAGCGCCTACCGCAGGCCCAGGGTGGGAGTGTCCGGAAGAATCTGGTTCCGAGCGTCCTGCCGGGAGCCTGGCCTGCCCCAGCCCCCAGCGGCCCCGAGCCGAGCTGGCAGCGTGGCGGGGAAGCCGGTGCTCACGGTTCAGCCGCCGCTAAGTTGATGCCAGAGAGTAACAGGTTCCTGGAGGCCTCGGTTCCTGCGCTTTGGTTCAGCGTCCAGCTGGGGCTGCTCTGGCTTCCCAGGGCGTGTGCACACCCCATGCCCCCGCCAGCCCCGGCCCCTGGCTCAGCGCCGCAGGCAGAGGTGGGACACCAAGGTGTCATGGGGCCAGGCCCCCGCTGAGCCGCAGTCCAGTGCTCCCTCACCTCCTCCGGCTTCTGGGGGTCACCAGTGCTCCTGGGGTTCCTCGTCTTGTGGGTGCATCACACCGACGTCTTCCGACGTCTCCCCAGGGCGTTGTCCCCGTGGCTCTGTCCTCGCACAGCCTGTCCCTCTTCCAAGGACCAGTCTTAGGGCCCTTCCTGCTGATCCCATCTTTACTTGCTCGCGCTGCGAAGGCCTCGTCTGCAGGTCCGGCCCCCCTGGCAGCAGCACCTCGCAGTGCACCCCCAGAGTGCCAGAGGGGGGCCCTCTCTCCATCACAGCGGAAGCTGTCCGCGTCCAGACCCCCACTCGGACAGAAACCTCTCTTCTGTCCCCCAGACCCAGCACCTTTGCCACGCCTGCCTGTCCTTCCTCCCCCAGAAGCTGTCCCCCTTCTTGTCTCAGGGCCGTCCTGCTGGTTCATGTGGGTACCCTGCTCCGCTCCCCCAGCCCGGCCCTCCGTCACCCCCTTGCACCCGGACCCCAGGGCGGGAAGAGATGTCCCTTGTGGTCAGGGGACTCCTCAGGCCCCAGAGCCCAATTCCAGCGGGTTCCTACAGGGAAAAAACACACGCTCGGTGGGGACAGCTTCTCGGGGAAGCCAGCCCTCATAGCCTCTGGATTGCGCCCTCTCTCCCCTTGCTGTGTCCCCAGTGGCTCAGCCCCACCACCTGGCCGTCTGCGGCCCATCTGCGGCTCAGGTGCCCGGGAGGCCAGGTGCTCAGGCGGTCCCACTGCGCAGGGCCGGGACACCAGGCTCTCCCCCATGTCCATGAGCCAGAGAGAAGCTGGTTGTACACAGTGGCCGCTGCTGCAGACCAGGAGGACGGGGTCGTGGGAGGCACCTTGTGGAGCCCGGTGGCAGCACCTGAAGAGAGGGGGACAGTGGGAGCACCTTGTCTCCGGGTGGAGGGGCCACAGAGCCTCCCATAGCGGGGGGTAAGGATGGCACGGGCAGGTGACAGAGTCCTGCTGCGTGCCGGGCTGGGCTGCGCGGTGAGGAAGGCTGGGAAAGGGGCCTTAGCAGGGGTGTGAGGTGGGGGCACTGGGGCCCCACCGGAAGTAAGGGACGCAGAGTGTTCCCCCATGCGTGTCTGGGGTGCCCTTCGGGACCCCCGAAGCTCTGTCCCGCTCAACAGACGGTGAGCTACCTGCCGCTTCGTTCGGGCTGAGAGGTGCTGCCAGGTCACGGAGAGAGCAGTGTCCAGCCTGCCAGCCGGCAAGGCTCCCTGTCCGGGGGAGCCCCGTCCTGCAGCAGCCCGGGGTGGGGGGCCCAGCAGACCTCTGAGCCGCCTGTTCCCGTGTGCCTCCCGCTCCCTCGCTCCCAGCAGGAGATGCGGAGTGAGCGTCCGGGATGGGCTGGTTCGCCGACAGCGAGACAAATCGCCCAGCGGGGCGCCCCTGCCAGGAAGTTCTCTGTGGCCTCAAAGCCTTGGTTCATTCACTCTGTCATTGAAAGAGAGACGACTGTCCAGCATACAGACGGCAGGGCTGCCGTGGTGACTGCCACACCGTCCCAGCGGGCGAGGGACGCATAGAAGCCGGTGGCCTCCGTCCTGCCTAACCTAGCCCCGGGGCGGCCCGAGGAGGGGACACGGGGCAGCAGGGCGCGCAGCAGGTGACTCGGGTCCTTTACGACCCACTGACAGGTACTTGTGGGTGTCCCCATGCCCCGGCACATAGCAAAGCCCCGCCAGTGGGTGGCTCGGACGACCGGGATCCATGCTCTCGGCCCCGCGGCCAGAAGTCCGAGACCACAGGGTTGCAGCGTCCAGCTCCGTCTGATGCATCCGGGCTCCTTCCTGCCTCACTAGCACCCAGTGGCCCCGGGGCTCCTTGGTGTCCTTGGCTTGCAGACACAGCCATCCCATCTCTGCCTCCACCGTCCCATGGCCGTCTACCCTCTGCATCCTCTCCTCTTCTGGGGACAGTCGTCACTGGGTCTCCGGCCCGTGATACACACCGCGACCTCACCGTCACCGGTTACGGCTGTCACATCCCGAGTTCTGGGCACACATGACCTTGACGGGACCACTATATTCAACCCAGTATGGTGGGTGAGGTCATCAGGCTTGGTAGACGGAGAAGTGGAAGAAGTAAAAAGAAAAAGCCCTCCCTCTGATTCGTGTGTCTGTGACCTCTGTGAGGACATTCCAGAAAAACACTCATACCCGAAAACAGCCTGATTTTGTGTTGAGGCAATCCAGCCAGTTCCTGGTCTAAATACTGCTAAGATTCCCGCTGGACCCACTGCATCACAAGGTCTGGACTCGGGGCATCTCAGCCCCGGGCCCTGGGGTGCAGCGCTGGCAGGACGCAGGGCCACAGCAGCATGTTCCTGGGCAGGGGCTGGCAGAGCCGTGCAGGCCGACCGGTGCCCGAGTTCGAGCTAACTCCTTGGGGCTGCTTCCCAGCACGCAGGTGTCACTTCAGGTGATCTCTGACCCTGTCGGAGTCCGAGTTCATGCACCCGGGGGACGGACAGTTCTGTGGCCTCTGGACTGTGTGATGACGTGCGTGCTGTGTTCTCTGGCGTCCCCGTGTGACCTCGCTCAGTCCTTACAGCGACAGCAAGCAGTGGCCTCCGCGACCAGGCACGTAGAGGAGAGGAACTGGGCCAGCATCACCCCGCTGTAAGTGGTGGGATGGGTTTGGACCCCGCGACCTGGGGTCCTGACCCTGGGAGACTCCCACTGGTGGACTTCAGGCACGGTCGTCACATGGGACACGGGCATGTCCCGGCACCCACGGGCCGGCATGCAGCACGCCGTCTTCCGTCTGCCGACCGGGCCCTGCCGGGTGCTCGCCTGCCTGTCCCAGGTGCAGCGTGAAATTCGGTGCTCAGGGCCCGGGGCGCGAGCGTGCGCGACCCCTTCTTTCCGCCCCGTCCTCCGTGCCGGGGCTTGGGGGGTCTGATTCCTGAAGGCCCCTCAGTCTGAGGGGTAAGCAGTCTGGATTGGGGGGTCAGGAGGTAATCTTCCCTGTAACTCGTGGTAAGCACGTGAAGGGAAGTGGACCCCTCGTTCATCCGTGCGGGCGGCCGTCCATTCCGACTGCGGGGACCGGCGAGTGGCAGGCCCGGTGAGGGGGCCCAGGAGATGCGGAATCTGCAGACTGTGACGGGCCGGCCACTCGGCAGCCCGCCGTCTGCCGGAGACGGACACCCACGGTCACGGGAGCAGCGCAGGGACAAGGACTCCCCTCCGCCAGGGTGGGGGCGGGGGCTGGGTCCATGGAAGGAACCTGACGACTGGAGCTCGGTGGGACTCCGCCCACCCCGCCGCGTGTTCCCGGCTCCTCACAGACCCAGGACCGACGCTGCGCGGTGGCCGCTACACATGGCTCCGCCCTCCTCCGCGGACACTGGCCGGCGGCGTCCATCAGGTCTCTGTGGAATCAGGGCACAGCTTCCCGCATCGTCTCTGCAGCAGACCAGCCCCTGGACTCAGAGACGTAAAGGGCAGCTGGCAGGAGGGACAGAAATCCTGCCAGCGTAACTCGTGCCCAGTAGCGATGGCTTTGTGCGGAGGACGGCAGGAAGAGACCGCAACTCGGACAGCCGTCCGGTCTGAAGCCTTCGTCCTCGGCCGGGCTGCGTTTTCTACCGGATTCAAGTCAGGGAGGCGTTGAGTGAGGCCCTGCTTGATCGGGGAACCGGTGGAAGCGGAGGACATTGACGCAATCGGTGACGCGCCGTCAAACCTGATCCTTCTCCCTCTCCACCTGAGAAATTCTCCTTGGGAAACTGCCAGAAGAGGATCCAAGGGTCTGGGGCCCTGAAGTCCCTCTGGGGCACCACCCTCAGGACCCCTCATCGTGCAGGAGGTTTGGAAGCTGCGGTAGGAAAGGGGGAGCACAGGGCGTGCAGACCCTCAGCTACTCATCCAGCACCTACTGTGGGTCCGCACTGTCCCCATGCCGGGGCACCAGGACGTGTGAGGCAGCGGGCCGCCTGGGCCTGTGGAGCCTGCGGTCCCAAAGAACGCCCCTCGGCGCACAGAGACCATCTGACCTCAAGCCCTTGCGTGAAGTGGCTGCTGTGTCGTCCCCTGAGCCTGGCTTCCCGTCGTGGAGTGGGGACAGCGGTCCGCGCTGTCCACCAGCAGAGGGGGAGTGACAACTGGAGGGTCTCCAGCAGGAGGGGGCTGTGGGGCAGGGCTGCGGGGGACGAGGCTTGCCTCGGTAGTTGCCATCGCATGTCCTCCCACAGACCGGGTGTCGTACAGGGAGGCGACCGCACTGGACCCATGTGCCTCCGCAGGGGAGGGTCCTCCGTCCTCAGACCCCTCGGTCTGGGAGAAGGGAGTTGGTGGGGCAACGCTTGAGGCTTCAGGAACTCGCTGGGGACCCCGGGGGCGTACCACCTGCTGCTCTGCCCAGCGCACCTGCTGACCGTCGGGGAGGAGCTCGAGGAGCCCTCGCCTTGCTCCGGGCAGGCTAACTATATCCCCGGTGCCAGCTGTCCCCGCTGATGCCCTGCACGGAAGGTGGGAGCCAGGGAAATGTGTCCCAGAATGGCGGCTGCCCCTCGCCCCAGCCTCACCCCCAACCCGTCAGGCCTGTAGACAGTTTCCCCAGGTGTGCATTTGCTCATCTAGATTGGGTCCCAGGACTTTACACAGCATGGTTTAATTAAAAGAAAGGAAGGAAGATAGGGTTCATGTAAATACAATTTAATTTTGGGGGGCACATTCATAGATGTTACTCCCTTTGCTTCCCTCCCTTGGAAGAGTGAGGTGTGCGTGAGGGAAGGCCCAGCAGCCCGGCCCCGCCATGCGCCCAGCTGGCCCTGGCGTTGGAAGTCACCCCTTCTGAATCGATTAATCACGAAACCCCACATCATTCACCACCGGCCTTGGGACCCCCATTTTCCCCCAGGGACACAGTGGAAGAGGCAGTCCCCTGATGCCTGGCGGGAAGCCAGCTACGGGAGCCGTTACCCTCTGGTGGGTGCTCTGCCTCGGGAAACGGAGCCTCCACTGGCTGGGTGGGACCGTCACAGGGATCAGCCACCAGAGCCACGTCCCAGCTGGCACGAAAACTCCTTTAGGGAACCCGACCCCTTGGAAAGCCGACCTCCCTCTGAGTGTGACCGACCTCAGCCTGGGCACGCGGGAGAGAGGGGCCCCCGGGCGGACCGGAGCTCCCTCTCGGGGCTGAGATTTGAGAAGCCCGGACGCCCTCTTGGGTCACGCGCTGTTGCAAAGGAGCGTGCGTGGCTGGGGTCCTGAACCGGCAGCTCGGTCTGAGGGCGGCCCGAGCGCCGTGACCGTGGGCTAGTGTCTTGGCGCTGGGTCGCGGCTTCCCCGTCTTGACTTGGAGGGAATACTAGCCACCGACCACGACTGTTGGTGGGTTCGACTGTTCAGCCCGCGCTAGCCGGCGCCCTGTGAATCACGATCGTGCTGGGAGGTCGTCCTAAACCAGCCCCCGGACTTGGGGGTCGTGGCTTTGAGCGGACCAATGAACACGCTCTACTGAAAGCGAGGACGTGTGTGGACAGAGTGCTGCGCCTGAGATGACGACGAGGTCGGGTAGAGCCACATTTTCCCTCAGTATTTCAGACCTGGGATGCAGTAGGGGAAGCGAGACCCCAGAACCAGCCTAAATCTGGCACCAGTGCCACCATTGCTGTGGACTCGTGTCCAGGAGGGAGTCGCCGCAGCAGTCAGCTGCTCCCGAAAAGCCCCAGCGTCCACGTCTGAGGCGCAGCCTGGTCAGTGGGGAACTGCTCGGGGAACCAGGCGTCCTTCACGGCTGTCACCGTGCGCGCGCCCACCAGGAGGGGGCAGCAGTGCCACCCGCGTCCCCTTCCTGGCCACCTGCTAACCCCCCGCGCCAGGACGGGAATTGGAGGCAGAGTGCTCCGAGGGCATATTTTTGAGGAAATAATACGTGAGGCCCCCCGTGAGCGCGGGCCCTCCTCCGACACTCACCACTCCTTAAAACCACAGAAATCCTCAATAATCTGGCCACGATAATTAGGGGACGCCACTGATAATTCCAGGTGAGAATCCAAACAAAACCGCAGCCAACTCCAGTAACCTGGAGAGTGAGGGGCTTCCAGGCCGTCCCCAGGGTGTGAGCCGGGAGACCCTGCGGAGGGGACCACCTCCCCGTGCTCACCCCCAGCGGGAGCCGGCCCTGGTGCTAGTCAGCGCTACCCTGTGTTCGAGGACGGGACAAACCCACCCGCACACACACACATCTCTGTGGCCCTCCGGAGAACCAGGGACATGTCCCTGTTCTAGATCCAGCTAAGAGAAAACAAAACCGTTTACAATTATATGAAAGAAAAAACAAAACGTTGTTCTCTTAATGCTTAGCGTTCCTATTTTATACTTGCCAAAACAGCTATCTTTGACTTATTCGGACATAGTTCTTCGGTTATGATCCCATATCCCATCTTTGGATACGTACACAGGGAAACGGCACAGGAGGTGGGTGGGCCCTTGCGGCTGTGTCTGAGCTGTCCCTGCGCAAAGCTTCGCCCTCGGGGAGTGAGCCTGTCACGTCTTCGGTGTAACTTGTCTGTGGAAACACTCTCGCGCAGATCGATTTTCTTGTTTTCCTGTCATCCCCTCCCCTGCCTTGAGAATCTCATTTCAAGTGAGCTTAGATTGAAAAATGGGGCCTGGAATGTGATTTGGCCATTTCCTAGAGCAATCCTCTCCCTTGGGTAAATCAGAACGGACACATTCACGCTCTCGTGGCCACAGGAATGGACACCTGACCCTCCTAAATAAAGCCCCCCCCCCCCGCCTTTGACCAACAAGGGCACAGAAAGTCCCCAAGGCAATGCATCCACCAGCCCGTCCATCCTTTGACTTTTCCGGAAGGTCGTTTAATTACAATGTACCCTAAAGACTTCCCAAGAAGAACCTACTGGAAGTCCCGTGCGGGGAGTGGGGTGTCGAATAACGTAAAAATACGTGCGCATATAACGCACTGCCCCGTGAGCGCGGGCCCTCCTCCGACACTCACCAAGGCCGTCCCCACACGGGAGCCCAGCACGTCGAGGCAGCAAGCTCCCATGGGACTGAAGAACAGAAGGCCTCTGATGCCCAGAGGTCAGAGGCGGGACGAGGGAGAGAGAAACTAAGAAAACCCAGTGTCAGAGGGGCCAGCGCCCCACAGAGCCAGGCCCAGGCTCCCGACCCACAGGAACTGTGGGGAGTGTGTGCTCTTTCGAGCCGTGAGCTGTAGCACTTTGCACGCAGCAGAAGGAGATGAGTCCCGCCCCGTCGAAGTCGTTCCTCCCGCAGGGGTGGGGGGCGCAACTGGGCATTGGGACGGAGCCCCCGGGTCTCGGGAGCTGGGGGACCCGCCGTCAAGTCCCAGAGATGCCAAGCTGGTGATCCTGGGCAGTCACCCAAGGTCTCTGAGTCTCAGGTTCACACCGATAGACAGTCGATCCCTAAGGCCTTCCAGCGTCTGGAAATACTTTGTTCTAGAGACAAGAACGTGTGTAATTAAAGGAAAGCAACAGCCACTAAGGAACACTGGGGAGTAGCAGGGTCAGGGGCTCGTTGGGAGGTGGGCATCGCTCTCCCTCAGTGCTCCGTGTGTCTCAGCCCCCCTCTTCCTACCTCCGAGCCCCTGCTCCCAGCTGACTCGGCCCCCCAGCTTAACGCACCCCCACCCAGGCCCCCAGTCTGCTCCTCCTACTCCCCACCTGGAAGGGCCCCTCCCCTTTGGCCCTGGCCCCAATTTGTTTCAGATTCTGGACATTGCCCAAGGCCAGCTCCCTCTAGCTGCTCTTTGCCCGCAGGACAGGCCGCAGGAGCACTGTCGAAGGGAGTCCGGCCCTCCAGGAGTCAGAGGAAAGAACAGAGCTCAGAGCCAAGGGGCTCCCTACCAGAGGAAGGAAACGGCCCTGGTTGGTTGCCCCCCTCAGTCCTTCCCAGAACAGGAAGGAGCATAACAGAGCGAGGAGGACGGCAGGGAGAGGAATGGAGCAGAATGGACTGGAGGGACCACAGTGTAGTGCGATGGGGACGCCGACGGGAGGGGAACTCTGGCCTCCATAAGCCAGCCGGGTTCGAACCCGCAGGCCCAGCATCCACGAAGGGGACCCACCACAGGCTAGTGACTGGCTGTGCTCCGGCCCCACGTGGGCATGGTGGCGCTGGGCTGACTCTGGTCGGGGCAGCCTGGACGAGCCGGAGGCCCCAGGATGCGGAGCCTGTGCTCCGGGGAGACGGCTCCTTTGGTCAGAGACCCGGGCTCGAGAGCCTGGCTTTGCAGGGTTTTGCTGAAGGCCCCAGCCCTGGAGCCCGTGTGAGAGGCCGCGGCTGGAAAGGCTTGACCTTGACCGCCGGTGTCAAGGTCAGAGTGGACCTGCAAGAGCAAGACCCTTTTCCCGACGCCCTCTCAGGTGCGCAGCCCCCTCGGCAGGTACAGGGGCAGGAGACTCCCCGGGGCCGCAGACAGGGGCTCGAGCTTCCCGAACATACGACCTCGAACATCGCTTTCCTCTGGGACGGGGAGGAGACGAGCCGCCTGGACGGACTGCGGAGGATTAAGGGAAGGGTTTGGCAGAGCGCTGAGGAAGCACCCCTGCTGTTCCCACGGTGAGCGGGTACCGGGCGAGGGGGCAGAAGGCCCCCGGGCAGGTCCTGTTTTCAGTACCCGAGGGCTCTGGGCTCCGGGCACTTCCTCAACCCTTAGCTCACTGCATTAGTTCCCGAGAGACAAAGTGACAGAATTGCACACTGTCGACTGAAAAACGGGACCGTCGAGCTTCCCGGGGAGCAGGCCGGCGCCGGGGCAGGGCCGGGACAGACACCTCTTCCCTGTCTCCGCGGGCTCGGAAAGCCCGGCCCGGCCCCCCACATCCAGGTCGGGGAGCCGCGCGCCAGGCGATGAGGCTGCCGGAGCGACGGCGGCCCGCCAGGGGGCGCGCTGGGCACCTCCCGCCGAGGAGGTCTGGCCCTCGTCCCTGGGAGCCCAGAGAGGTCCCAGGCAAAGGACTGTGTATGGCGGGGGCTGAGCTGGAGACCCATCTCCGGACCACTGTTTTGTCTCTCAAACCCATAAACCCCACGAGTTCCTGCTGATGACCCAAGGTGCCTTCCGAATCGCGTGCTTTGTTACATTCTTTGCAAGTTAGCAGTTAATGCACGCCACGAAAGCCTTTCTCTGAACTAGAATATTCCGTTCGCCAGCACGACCCCGTCCCCAGCCGTCCTGCATTTGTACCAGACAAACCCGAGGCCAACAAACCACCGCCACGTCCAGCCTTCAGTTCTTCCCAGGCTGGGAGGAGCAGCTTCTCTTTCGCGGACGCCGGAGCCCAAGCCCCTGCCGGCAGAGACGGGGCCACAGAAGGTCGCTGGGCGCCTGGCCCGCGGACTGCCGTGTGGACCGGCCCGAGGTGGGAAACCCACGCGTGTCAGCCCTGTGGCCTCCAGCAGGGGCACAGATGCGCCCCATCTGCCACATATCAGCTTCCCGACGTGCGACAGAGCCCTGCGTGGTGTCTGGCTTCTCGGGGGGCCGCCCGTTTCCCTGCTCCAGAACCTCATCCCAGAGCCACAGGCTGGTCCGGGCTCCAGGCTTTGCAGAAAAGCGTCTCCACGCAGGGAAAAGTTAGTGTGGCTTTGAGCTTCCTGTGTCTTCTCTCCACGGGATCACTCAACTCAAGTAAGCCGGGGTGGGGGGGGGTCATAAACACTGCGGAAAGAATAAATGAAAATTTCACAAGTCTTTTGTTTCGCTCTTCTGTGTTTGTGTCACTCTTTGTTTTCTTAAGATTTTATTTATTTATTTATTTATTTGAGAGAGAGAGAGAGAGAGAGAGAGAGAGAGAGAAGTAGTGGGAGAGAGAGAAGCAGGTTCCCCGCCGGACAAGGACTCGATCCCGGGAGGCTGGGTTCCAGACCTGAGCGGAAGGCAGACGCTTACCGACGGAGCCACCCAGGCGCCCCCATCCTCTGACTGTGTAACGTGTGCCTGACACCACCTGCGTCCCTCGGGCTCTCCTTTCTTCTTTCCAGGGACAAGCACAGTTTCCTGACAACACAAGGATTTACGTGACGCGTGATCCGTGAAAAGGACACGGCCCTGGCACCCAGTGCCTGCACCTGCGTGTACAGGACACTGTCTGCCAAGGAGGGCGCTGATACACGTCCTCGTGTCGTTGTTTCTCCTGTATATACTGAGACAGCTTCATTCGGCCCACATAGAACCCCATTTTCCATCTCACCGACGCTGGCGCGCACGTGTATTTCCCGCCCCGCAGACACGAAGTTATTTCCGAGATCGCGCTCTCACGGGCAGTGCTGTGCCCGGCACGCTGGGCCAGAGGGTTTCGCGCACAGAGGCCGTTGCTGCGGGAGGAAGGCTTCACGCATTTCAAATCTCGCCAGACACCGGATATGTTTTAAATCTCGTCGAACGTTTGCGCCCAGAGGTTCCAACTTAAGCTCCCTGCAGCGGCGTGCAAACTGCCTGTCTCCTCCTCACCTTTACAAACACAGCGCGAGTGCAAAACCTTACTCGTAATAATCCTTGCCACCGTGAGAGATAAAGGACTTGCCTCTCAGCATCGTGCCGGTTTGCATCTTCTCGCTGTGGGTCTGAGCCCCGGAGAACCAGCTACGTTTTTTCCTATACCCTCTTCATATACTTTCCCCACCTTCCTATGAAATGCCTGGCCTTTTAAAATACTGATTTTTAGGAATTCATATGACGAAGCGTATTAGCCATTTTTCTGTTATGGGAGCTACACGCATTTTTCCTCATTCGCTGATTATCATTTAATTTTGTTTGTGATGGTGGTTGCCGACCAGTCAGCGGGGGAGTGGGGTTGGTCCAATGTGTCCACCTTTCCTTTTCTGGCTTCCAGATTTTGTCGGAGTGAAAGCGGTCTTCCTGAATCAGATGATTTGGTGACCCTCCCTTTTGTCTTCTGTTACTTCTAAGGTTCCATTACTCATGTTCACATCTTGTGCTCGTATGGTGTTTACTTCGGTAACTCTGGGTTGGTGGCTGGAACTTTGTCTTTGAGGTGATTACACACTTTCCCACTGCTTCGAAATGCCACTTAATTATATAATAATATTGTATTCATTTTCTGGACTTTAAAGATGATTCCATCAATCTTTCCAGTCTCCAGCATCCAGGCACACCCCTTCCTCCCAGGGCCAGCCTTCAGTTTCTTGTGCATCTTTCCAGAAACAATTCACATCAATTTCACACGTGTGTTTCTTACAGGCTTTATAATCTACTTGCCTTATGTTACAAAAACTCAACATTGCTAGCATTTAAAATGGGATCAAGGGGCACCTGGGGGACTCAGTCGTTAAGTGGCTGCCTTTGGCTCAGGTCTGATCCCGGGGATCGAGCCCCACATCGGGCTCCCTGCTCAGAGAAGCCTGCTTCTCCCTCTCTCACTCCCCCTGCTCTTGCTTTATCTCTGTCAAATGGATGGAAAAAATCTTTTTTAAAAATAGGTTAAATTTATTTTAAAAATAATAATAAAATAAAATGGGATGGAGCTCAGTATTTAAGTGAACTAGAGAACTGGCGTCACTGTGGTGAGCAGAGTTCCTACCATGGACGCCCATCCCTCTCCATCTGCACATTTTCTTCTGTGTCCAGCAGCATTTAAAGTTGTTGCTGTCGTAAACGTATCCTTTATTCCATCAGATCTCATATTTATAAATGAAAGTTATTAATTTTGTATGTAATGTATATTTTGTACAATTAATGGCACTAGCAGTCTTTTTAAATGCTCCAGCTGCGTAGAATTCTAGTTAAATCGAGCTGCCGTCCTGAGGCTTCACCGCGTGCCGTGTGGGGCGGCAGAAGCAGACACACAGGACGAGCCCTTCTGGACAGCACAGGGCTTTGTGACTGTCCGCTCCGAAAGCCAGGCACCACACGGAGCACAGGTCCTCTCGGGACCAGAGGAGCCCTGCTCACCTGCCTAGGGAATGCGGTTTGCCACACCTTGACTATGACATGGTTTTCATTGCATTTATTCTGCTTGAGTTTCTTTCTTTTTTTTTTTTTTAAGATTTTATTTATTTATTTGACAGAGAGAAACACAGCAAGAGAGGGAACACAAGCAGGGGGAGTGGGAGAGGGAGAAGCAGGCTCTCTGCTGAGCAGGGAGCCTGGTGCAGGGCTCAATCCCAGGACCCTGAGATCATGACCTGAGCCAAAGCCAGACGCTTAATGACTGAGCCACCCAGGCGCCCCGTCTGAGTTTCTTAACTTATTCCTGAGTTTCTTAACTTCGCTAATGTGTGATTTTATCAAGCACTAGAAAAATTTAGCCACTATTTCTTCAATTATTTTCCTGAGCCTCTCACTCCTTCCTTCTGGGATTCCAAATACTCGTATACTCGACCTTTTGTTATTGTCCGCAAGGTCTTCAGGCTTAGTTGACTTGTCTATAAATCTCTTCCTCTCTATCTCTTCACATGGGCTCATTCCCGTCTTTCTGCCCCCACATTTACTGTCCCTTCCCGCCCTCATCGCCGTCCTACCATTAATCGCATCTAGTCAACTTTGTATTTCAGACAGAAATTCTGAAAATTAAGGTGGAGGGGAAGACGGTGGTGGAACAGGAGGACCTGCGGCTCGGAAAAAACTTGAAATTTAGATAGTATCTTTCTCTTTTCTAGAATTCCCATTGTGTTCTTTGCTACAGTTTCTCTTTCTGTGCTGAGATTTTTTTTTAATTTATTATGAGTCTATTTTCCTTTATATCATTGGGATATTTATAATAGCTGTTTAAAATATATATCTGCGGGCGCCTGGGAGGCTCAGTGGGTTGAGCCTTTGCCTTCGGCTCGGGTCATGATCTCGGGGTCCTGGGATCGAGCCCCGCATCAGGCTCTTTGCTTGGCAGGAAGCTCCTTCCTCCTCTCTCTCTCTCTCTGCCTGCCTCTCTGCCTGCTTGTAATCTCTCTCTGTCAAATAAATAAATAAAATCATTAAAAATATTTTTTTTCTGCTAATTCTAGCATTTGGGTTATCTTGGTGTGAGTCTTCACTGCTTTTTTTTTTCCTTGCAGGTGGGTCATATTTTCCTTTTTCTTCAAATATGTCAGCTCTGTGGACATCTTGGACCAGATAATTCTTTGTTCTGGGGACTGTCCTGTACATTATACCATGTTTGTTCCCGGTCTCTCCCTTGCCTGTAGTCACAACAATCAAAAATCTCTCCAGACATTACCAGATGTCCCCCCTGGCGGCAAAACTTCCCCCAGATGAGAACCCTTCAAAAACCCAATTTTGTATTATATCCTGGACATGGTAAATGTTTTGTCATGCAGACCAGGGTTCTGTTATATTCCTCTGAAGAGTATTGATTTTTTTGCTTTGTGTTTTAATAACAGATTCACTTTGTTGAACTAAAACTGCAGATGCTGTCTCCAGGTTCTTGGTTCAAATCTCAGTTCAGTTCTTTTATTCTTATCTGAGTTGCTTGGAGTCTGCTCCATGCACGCTTGGTTCAGGGCTCAGCAGAGACTCAAGCAGAATTTATGCACAAATTTTGGGGCTTCCCCTTCCATGTTCCTCTTTCCAAAATTTCTCCTTCCTTTCCAGAGCCTGTGGTTGTCCCAAACTCTTCTTTTGGTTCAGGCAAAAGAGACTGCCAGTGTTCAAGTTTTAGCTGCCCCAGATGATGAAGTCTGGATCCTGTCCTCATGCCAGAAACCATGGAAACAGGAGACTCTACAAGTAGTGTGACCTTTGCCCACATGTCACCTCCCCTCCAGAATAGGCCTATCTGTGGCCACTACCCAGGGTGTTCAGGTAGTTGTTATTTATTTATCTATATTTTTAGGAATTAATATTTTAATGAGTTAAAACATCCAATCAGGTGTTTATGTGGCATTATCTGGAAGCAAAATCTGCACAGTCTTTAATCCTGCAGGAGGGGGGCGCCGGGGCGGCTCAACCATTAAGCATCTGCCTTCGCTC